TACTTTTGTTGCCTTTTTGAAAAAAAGAAGCAAAACCCTGAGAGGAGAAAGAAATTAAAGTATAAACAGAAAAATTGGGTGCAGAGCGAGTTAAAAGATTATTCTACATAACCATTCATTTAATATCCTTTTCTACATTGATTAAAACTTAAATCGACCTAGAATTTAGAATTTAGTATTTTACATCGATTAAGAAACAATCAATTCAGTAAAATTTGTTAAAGCTGTGAAATATTGTTATGCATTTTTTACATCACTTGTTAAATAATTTAGAGGAAATTACATTGACATTATGTGTTTTTTTTTTTAAATTGTACTTGATATTCATCTATAATTCTAAGGTGAATGGAGCGATAGTAATAACAAATAAGAATACTTAAAAAAAAATTGTCAAAAAGATGATGCTAATCTATAAGGAATGGCATTATATATTTGTTTTTTCTTTACCTATGTTCATACTTCTATTATGGCAACTTCATATTTATTGGTGTATGGACTATTAGGACAACTTCATATTTATTGGTGTATGGACTATTAGGACAACTTCATATTCATTGGTGTATGGAAGTTGTGCTTCTAATTGAGCAAAAATACCTTTTGAATTGTCCAATTGGTGTTGGGTAAAACTAAACTTGAGATCCAATTGGTGTTCGACAAAACTAAACTTGAGAAAGTTAAATGAGTTCAAATTCCTTGTGGTCAATTAAACTTTATTGAAAAAAAAAATTAAATATCTTATATCACAGCCTATTATATAAAAAGAGGTGGAGAGAGTCTATGATAAAAATATTTGTCTCTAAAAGTTTCAAAAAGAAGATTTGATACTCAAGAAAATCTTACCAATACAAAAAAATCACATAGAGAAGCAAATTCTAAATTATGTAAAATCTTATGCGGTAAAAAAGATCTTTTAAGAAGAGTTTTGATCCCTACAAATATAAATGATAGGCATGTGTTGCTTCGATACAATCAAAAAATATCATGCCTAAAAGAGATAAATCAAGAGAAAAAAGAAAAAAAAAGTTTATTAGATTGAAAATTGAAAGAAAAATGACAAATAAAAGTTAAAACGACTTTAGTTATTATATTTAAAATAGCTATTTATATAAATCTTAAATATGATTCATATATTTTAATATAATATATTTTTTATATAATTTATTATATTTTTTTATTATATATAATAAATATTTAACGTGTATATTAAATAAGTTAAAATGTTAGCAAAAATAAAAGTTTAACCACTCATTTATTAAAAAAAAAAAAAAAGGAAAAACACAACACTCATATATAAAGATAAAAAAATTATTTAATCTTAATTTAAAAGTCTAAACATACCATTTAATCTCAAAGATTCCCTAAACCTTTCCTTAGAGGAACTTTTTGAATGTGATGCGAATATGTCGTTATCAAAAAAAGAGTAAGGTCTTTCAAAATATCATATGATTCTATTGTTATTTTAAAAGATTGGGGCGTCAGTTTAAACTTACCAAAGAGTAATTTAACGAGTTAACAAAATACTTTTATCTTTAATAGAATGTTGTCTGACGGTGGCACACCGACAAAACACCACTAAACATTCATTAAATAATACGTATTATATATATATATGTGTGAGGACATTATCTACATGGTAATTACTAATTAGATTCAAATTTTAATTAAATTGCGCGTTGACATTATCACATGGAACCATCATCATCTTTATTTTATACGATATATGTTATTTTATGCCTATTTATTTTTTTAATCTGAATAAATTAACAGGTTATAATGCAAATGTATTTTGAAAGAATTGTAATTATAATTTGTTAATGTGTTTTTTTTTTTTTTATATAAAAGAAGTAAGAGTATACTAACAAAAAACTCCACAATCCAACCAGTTAATCTTTAGTCTCTTCAAATAATTGAAGTATTTGTACTCGACAGTCAAATTTTCATGCAAGGTGAATTCATTCACCAAAATTTTCTTTTCTCTAATTAAGTGTGTTGCCATTTTCATATATCATATACAAACTTAAAACATGCATTGCTTCAAGTGTTACAGTATGAAAAGCAGCATTTGGGTAGATTCCAAAGTTTTGTTTCTAAAAAGTTATAAAATACTTTTGGAAACTATATTTTAAAATATTTACGTATTGTCAAATAGATATTCTAGAAATTGGATTTAGAAAATTTATTTTTTTAAAAAACTACAAAATAAGGAAAGAGGTGTGGAAAAAAGAAAGAAAAAAGGAAAGTGGAAATAAAAGTAACCGTAAGGGTAAGGTAAGGATGAGTGTTAAGCTTACAAATTTATGCAAAACAATGGGGCAGCCCATTAAGCCTCGTCAATGGTTTGCGTCAGCCATTTGTTTGGTCCAACTAGACAAATGTTTTGGACCTGAGCATAATAAAATTGAACCAAAATAAAGCCAATACTATTCAAAATAATTTATCAAGTTAAATAATAAAATAAAATTATATAATACCTGAAGGACTTAAAAAAATATCATATATATTATTATTTGAATAATTGATATATATATATAGAATTTTTTAAAATCTTTTATTTTATTTCTAAAAATTTGTCATTTATTTATTGTTTATTTATAAGTTCATAATTCTCGTGTATTAGTTCAATAAGTTTATTCCAAAAGAAAATTTTTAAGTTGAATAAGTTAAAAAATATTAAATTTTTATCATTAAATATTTTTAATTACGTAAAAAATAAATATTAATAATATTTTTTGCTTAAATATAATAATTTTTTAATAAAAATAATTTTTTAGCCTATATTCTTAATGTGCAAGATAAAAATCACAATAAGCTTTATCTATAATAAAAGTGTAAATTACTTGATTTTTATTTACAATAAGACTTTAAAAATCATGCTATAAATTTTTATTTTAAATCGTGATATAAATATTTATTTTATTAGTTTATAATTATATATTTTTTTTCACAATATAAATATATTTCTATATATATTCCATTAAATATTTTTATAGCAAGATATTATTTGTAACTTAAAAAAATATAATTAAAAATATATGATATTTTAATTGCAGTCATCTAATACACAATGATATACTAGTAGGCTAATATGATTACAACAATATTGTAATTTTCTTGTGTAACGCAGGTTACGCCGCTAAATCGACTCAATT